GTTTAAAAAATGGACATACTCTGTCCGCCACTGATATTAACAGTGGTTAAACAGAATACACAAAGCACATGAACAATCTCTCCACTTGTGCTGGAAGTCTGTATTTCTCCTCAACACCGCAATGCTATTTGCTTTTTGATAACTGTGGTTGTAAACATGGAGGCATAAATAGAGTCCTTAGAAAAGACTTCCTGATTCTTTTAATGTCTTGTGCCCAATAAAGCCACACTTTTCTTCTTTTTTCTCCCCGCTGGTACATGCAAAGAAAAGAGTCTGCTGGCAGTAAAGAAAAATGGTAGGGGACAAACTATGGAAACCTGGACAGCTGAGATGCCTGGCAGGGAAGTCTGGATAGTGACAGCCTTTTATCATGTAAGCTTGGTGAAATTGGGACTCTGTTTTAAACTCTTTTGGAAAGGTTCAATCCTCATCATCTGTCTCTATCTGGGAAGATTAACAAAAGTAATCTCACATGCTGTAATCAGTTCAGTATATCATTGCAGTGGGGCTTTAAAGAAAGATGGGATGAGCCACAGCTAAGTAGCTGAGGACATACTTAGCTCTCATATTTTGTTGCTGTGTCCTGGATGTGCTATGCACTAGGGAGACATAGCCCAGCTCAGTAGGTGGTATGCCCATGCCTTGAGAGGCAGGACCTGTGCGGAAAAGGAGAAAAGGGTCAAATGATGTGTGCACAATATTCCCCCCACTGCCCTTGCTGACTGTTTTTCTTTCAGGAATTGTGGCAGAATGAGCATTGAGAAGGGAAAAACCATCAGCTGCAAGGATTAGGGGAGATGATGGAGGGGATGAAGAGAAAGCTTGCAGATAGGAGAGCTGTGGTTGGCATAAGCAGAGCAGTGGGAGCTGAGTGCAATCCAGTTACCTGGAGGGTACAGGGCCCTAAAAGTTAAAATACGATTGATTTTAATGTGTTAGAAAAGGAACATCCAACGAGGTTGAAGAAGAAGGGTGACACGATAAAAATAGCAGGTAAAATAGCATTTGAAGATTATGTATTTTGGGGAGACTAACTGGTAGATGGGTGCAGTCACTAGGGCTAGGGATATATGAACTCATGCCAAAGTACTGGCTGGTTATGCAGAAAGAAAAGCTTCTGGATACGTCCTGGACACGTGGGGCACATGTGATAGGAAGTAAAACCTGACAGACTTGAATGTCCATGACCATGAAAATCCTGATTACAGCACCAGTGCTGTCGCATCACATTAAACTTAGGGATTAGAGGGAGCCAGAAATGAAGACGTGGGATTGTGATTTGGGGATGTAAATATAGGAGGAAACAGCGCTCGGAGAATACATGTAGAAAGGAAGAGGAGAAGGGCTAAACAGACAGGCCTGTATGAACCCCTCTATGCAGACGAGGGAAGAGGGGGAGGAGAAACCTTTCAAGGGAGATAGGAGGAAAGGAAGGAAGAGAATTAAGCAAGTGGAGCATCAATGCAAAATAAGACTTTGAGGAGGAAACGTGTAGGAGAGGCTAAGGAAGATGGATGTAGGGTGAAGGTCTTGGAATTTGCTACAGGTGAGTCATTAAGGGCTTGCTAGGAACAGCTTGCGTTGCGGAGCGCTGCGTGGCCGGAGCAGAACTGGGATAGATGTGAATGGGCAGCTGCTGCGGACAAGAAGTCAAAGCTTAGGAAATGTCTCATAACCCTTTGTAAAATCAGCAGATGTTTAACACAGAAAAAATAAAGTTGCTAAATAATGGTAGGGCCAGACTAGTTTTTATTTCCGTCAGTTGACAGGCAATTTCTGATCAAATTAAATTGTTGCAGGTAAACAGTCCTTTAAGCTGTTCCCAACTTTGAGTTTGTGTGTGGGGAAAATGTACAGGACATCTTCACCAGTCTGGTGGTATTTGTTAGAAAACATAGCTCTGTGTTTAGCTAATGACTTAATTAGGAAAGCAGTAGTCAGCTGGCAGTGAATTGAAGACTTTATTTAACAGGGAAGCACAAAAATTAGCCATTAGCCATCTGTTTTTTCCTGCTAATTACCTCTAAATATTAAAATTAAATACAATCTTCAACCTAACACTGATTGGTGGTTTGAGCGGAGTAGTGGAGATCAGAAATGAAAAAAAAGCATTAATAGACGTTCATAGAAATGAAGATGAGGGAGCCCCTCAATTTTACAGCTTTCATATCTGTCTCTGAAGCATTTCTGCCCACCTACAATAGCCTCTGTGAAGATCATGCTTATCATTTCTGGCCCTTGAGCCATCCTTCTGTCTTTAAACAAGCAAAGGCATCGGCTGCCTAATTTATGAAGCCTATTGCATGAGAGATGTAACTCTACCCATTGCATATCAGCAGCAGCCATCTAGCTGTGAGTGTGGCCCCACTTTGAGGGGTGGTGAGGTGGAGGTTTGACTAGATGACCTCCAGAGATCCTGTCCAACCTCAGTAATTCTGTGTGGCCATGATGGTCTGTGCTGTCAGGCAGAGCTGCAGCCTGTCTAATGCTGGGGTAGGGGGGTGGACCACCCATGGTCTCTCTGGGGGCACATTTTGTGCTCTTGTGTTAGTTGGGGTGACTTGGAGCGAGCATCCTTCACTCTCTTTCTCCCGGTTTTTGGTTGTCTGTGGAACTGCAAGTCTGCGGTGCCATTACCATAAATCTGCACTGTTTGGAGGAGGCAGGAATTGGACCCTGTGGGCTGTCATGCTAAGAGCCCTGAAGATGCTCTCAGGTTAGTTTTGCCTGCAGGAGTGGCAAAACAGGAAGGACACAAAGCCTGAAAGAAAATCTGTCTGTCTGTCCTGGACAGGAGAGCCATGACAACGTATATACTCTGGATAAAGTCACTCAGGAAATCCCTCAGCTCTGCTTTTGAAATGGTGACATTTGTGCATTCCAGAAGCTTGTAAATCCAGGAAGTGCCTTCTTCTCCAAAGGTCCACACTCCCTTCCTCAGAGCCACGGCAGGCTCTTGGCAGGAGGATCACTTGCCTCATATGAACAGAGGCAGAGCCTTATTTTTCTCTACCTCTTACCATAATTCGACATAACCTGGTCCCCCTGAGACACAGCAAGGATCAGGAAGCTTCTGAGTGCTGTGGGTATTTACTTTTCCCTCCCTAATTGGTAGTACGACTGGGCACCTCTGTAGCAGAGCTGTAAACTGCACGAGACACACTAAAATCTACTCTCTTTAAGCAACAAACGTCCACCCTTCTGTGCAATAGTCAGCTTATTTGGGGAAATTATGCACAGTCTTTGTCCTTTATTAGTCAGTTCTGTTGAGCTTGCTGAAAGAAAAAATAAAGTTGTTCTGCAGCAGTCCTTATAAATAGTTCTTATTCTTTTGCTTGCTGGCTTTTTCTTCCCCCTTTTTTTTTTTAATTTTTTTTTTTTTTTATTTCTAATAGCATAGGTACTCTGGGAAGATGATTTGGAAGTTTTATAGATAGATATGGTCAGGGTGCTCCTCCCCAGTTTCCATGGAGAGTTTCTACCTCCAATAAGCTGCAAAAAGGGAAAATCATAACTGATCTTCCAGCTTCCCCACTAGGAGATGTTTTCAGGGGTTAAGATTTGTTTTCTCCCTCTTTTTAGATGTTATTATTAGCTAGTATAGAACCTAAAGGAAGTTGGGGAAGGCAGCTGTGACAATAACTTCAGAAGGGCAACTGGTGATAAACCTCCTGTGTTCAAGCATAGAAAACTGGTAGTCCTTAAAAGCAGAATCCCAATGCATGTGAGTAAGTGGTATGTCATGCCTGTGTCACATTCAGACTTGATTTACACTCTGCTTGCAGCACTGCATCTTTCCAATCGAATGCTTCCTCATAGAAATAAGGACATCGTTTCTCACCTCCATCTGGGGTTTATTACTGACGTGTAACTTACACTTCCTTGACTCTTGATAAGAAAAACGATTGTCATGTTGAAAATTTTGAAAGCATTTTTCAGAACTGGTTTCCAGTGCTGCTATAACACTTCTGCTACCTTTAATATTTGTTTTGATGGATTGGAAGCTGCCATGCTATAATTCACTGTTATTGCATGTCAAATTGATGTATGTGATATTTTCTATATGGTATATCAGTATAATTTAACAAGAGTTTGTCCAGGGAAATGGACAGGGAGGAAAATAATGGCTCAAGATAAGTAGTCAATATTTAAACAGTGCTTAGGAGTTACTAATGGAAAAATATTACATCTTAGTTTTGATCTTGCCTCTTCCTAGGCTGATTTCCATAATGTGTGAACCAGGACACTTTAACTTCCATGAGCACAGAAGGCAGGATACTAAGGACTCTCTCTGTTTCTCTCTCTCAAGACAAGGGAAGCAACTCTTTGGAGGAATTCCAGAACAAGATTTAAGAAATCTTGCTAGAAGTACACAATCATAGGTTAAGCTAACAAGGATGCCATTGGGAACTGTAAGATTAAGATGAGGCAGACATGTAGAATGCTATTTAAAACATTCCTTTTCCCTATTTTTTTTTACTGCTGTTCAAATAAAAACTAATTTTTTTACAAGATTGTTCTGAGCACTGTGTATTGCTGGCCTGCAGAGAAGACATCCAGGTAAGTCTGTGGGGTGAGACTGGTTGATCCACGGGGTTCTGTAGTGCAAGGACCAGCTGAAGGGTGGAAAAACTGAATAATTCCACTAAACAACCGACTAAGGCACAAGGCCTGAAACCTGAAGAAATATGTCTAGTAATATTAAAAACATGACCAGTCAGAGGTGCAGCTGGTCTTACAAATGTGACACTTGCTAGCTTTGTTTTCTCAATTACCAAGCAAACTGTACAGATGTCTATCAGGAATCTTACATAAAATCAGCCACTTACACAAATATCAGGGAGTACAAAATGAGATCCTTTTTTAGGCGGAAGCAGCTGAATTCTGCTTTCTGTTATGACAGTACATTTACTATAAATTTCTGGAGGTACAAAAAGAACAGAATGGTTTATTCTGCCATGACTGCGGCTGGAAATGGTGTTAAATGACTGTTACAGTTTTCTTAGAATGCTACAGTAAAGATTTACTGTTTAGCTGTCATGACCATGAAGTCCTTATTAATTTTTGAATAAGTATTTATGGGATTCAGTTTATAAACCTTTATATTACTGTAGTGCATGTTAAATTAGGCATTTGATTCTTAATTGAAAGACATATAAACAAAATGTGGATATTGTTTTCTTTCTTGAATCCTTGATTACACAAAATGCCTTAAAGAAGAATACTTAATAGTTCCTTTTTTGTTTTCTTGCTAAAAAATCTGTGCCTTTGCAGAATAAAATTTATTCCAAACTCTTCATGATGAATAACACCAGAGGTTAAAAACAGCAGAATGAATTATAGGCTAAAGAGAAGTCAAGCAAATGGACAAACACAAAAATCCCCTTTATCAAGCAAAATGATGACAGAGTCAAATTGTTTTACTCATTCTTAAGGCCAGGAGTCATGCCATCATCATCTCCCAGTACTTCTAAGTATGTTCTCGACACCTGATGAGCTTTTTAAAGGCTAGCTTGAAATCTTCATTAAAGCTAGTGTATAGCAAAGGGTTGATAAGGGAGTTGACATATCCAAGCCAGGTCAGGAAGTCAGCTACCTCTGGAGAGACAGCGCAAATATGAAGGCCCACAAGCAACTCCTTAATGAAAAATGGCAACCAAGACAAAATGAAAGCACCTAAAATCAGTCCCAGAATGCGAGCAGCCTTTCGTTCCCGTGTCGTAGAAATCTGCTGCCGGTCACCAGCCAGGTCCAGGTCATTTTCGAAAGGAGGGATCCTCACGGATGCGTTGATTTTATCGAATTCCATGGTTGGATCGGACGTGGAGAAGTCTGAGACGCAGAAGGTCTGTGTGAGCTTGCAGCTGGCAAAAGAGTTTTGGCTGTCGGTGCTCCTGTTGCTAAGGTGGCGGCTTGAACCCCGTTTTTGGTAAAGGCTCTTTGCAGCATGGTAGATTCTGTAGTACAGGATCAGGATCAAAGTCAAGGGTATGTAAAATGCCCCAAATGTGGAATAAATAGTGTAGATGACATGATCGTGTTGAATGCGACATTCACTGGGAATATTTACACTGTGGTGATTTCTCCAAAACAAAGGGGGCATTGATATGAAGACAGAGATAGTCCACACAGTGACTATCATCAGCCCAGCCCTTTTTGCCGTTCTTTTTCTGGCATATTCAATAGCATCTGTGATTGCCCAGTACCTATCTAGAGCAATGACACAAAGATGAAGAATTGAACACGTGCAGCAGGTCATGTCAACACTGAGCCAGATCTCACAGATGAAGTATCCCAGAGTCCATTTATCTATCATTATGTAAGTGATACTCAAGGGCATGACGAGAACAGCAACAAGCAAATCTGTTACAGCTAGTGAACATATTAAATAATTTGCCGGCTGGTGGAGCTTCTTGGTTGTGCAGATTGCTGCAATCACCGCAGAATTCAGCAGCATAGTCAGGGTTGTGATTGTGGCCAAGGTCAGGGTAACAAGCATCTTCTCAGTTACTGTTTTTGGCTTTGCAGCCACGTTGGCTTCAGTGGTGCAATTTGTGAAATTCATTTTCCCCTCCAAGCTGCACAGTGAAAGAAGAAGTTGCTGCTTTAAGTCACTAATAGTTCCATGCTTAGAATTCATCCATTCAAAAAAGGGACAGAGATGCTTCAGATGTAAAATTTTTTAAATCTTCCTATTCACCGGAGCAGCTTAAGTCTTCCAGATTTTCTCCTGATCATTGTTTTCCTAGAAGATAAAAACATATTTGTTACCAAAGCTACAAAAAAATCTCACTTTTTGGCAGAAATCCTACACTTCTAATACCACTACCTCAAATAAAAATCTTGGCCTGTATCTCCTTCTTCTCTTCTCCTCTCCTTCCTTTACGCCCCCTTTTCTTTGCATTCATAGTTTCTGTTTCTATCTTTTTGTCTCTAAAGAAGACTTTGGGCCACATTTCACATTGATACAAGCTCGTATTTTTTCTTTGACTTTAGCAATCTCACTTGAAGTGGGAAGTTGAACTAAAGGACCTCCGAAGGTCACTTGCAACAAACATTTCTATATTTATTGACTATATGATTATTAATAATGAGATTGTTGATTCCGGGAGGTAGTCCTTTTCCTGCTTTGTTAAATAAGCTCCAGCAGATGATGAGCTAAGGAAATCTGCTTTTTCACTTTAATTGCTATATGGGACAGATCAATTACTTCCACATATCATCTCTGGAAAAAAGAAACAGCAGCCTATTTCAGCAAAGGCATGACAGCATTTCCTAACTTTCCATACTGTTTTTTCATATCCAGATCTGCCTTAATTAATATATTGGAAATAGTATTTAAAAAATACTCAGATTACCTTTAACATGCAGCTTTCAAACAAATGTTTTAAGCTTTGTAGCAAATATTCACTTCTACACAGCACATTAGTGTTGCTAGGAGCTTATACAGTTTTGTCTAATTATTTCTGACATTTCACATATCCCACTGAGTGTGTCTTTGGAGGAGACAGACAAAAAGCATTTGCCTTTTCTTTGAGATTTCTATCAAATTGTGCTCCCTGTCAGGCAGGCCACTATGATGCAAAGTATAAACAATACTTACAAAAAAAGGTTTAATCTTGTTTCAGGAGTTTATTTTGAGAAAGTTCTCCATGCATCCAAATGCTGACTGAGTTAGCAATCTGTAGGACGTTACTTGAGGCACCCTTTGGGGCCTTGCTTTCTCATTTGTAATTTATCTCAGCAAACAGAAAGCCTGAATCCTTTGCCATTAAAATAAACAGAAGGATCCCTTCGCTTGGCTTCACTTGTCTAAGAGAAAGGAAACCTCTGGGCTAGCTGTGTACACTCCCTCAACAGGCAGTGGAATGAGATAGTCACTGCCAGAAATACATTTGTCCCCTCTTAAGGCAAGTCTTTAAGGCAGATGGTGTGAATCACTTCCTGGAAATGCTGGTCTTTCTCTATTTTGACTACAGGTGGCTCCTTCACAATTGCATTTAAAATACGTGCCTGATTTTCAGAAGGCTAAATTTGAGAGGTAAAACCTGTCCTCACTGACACCAGTAGGATTTACATTAGGTTCTGAGAGAGAGGTTGCACATGTAAGCTGATGAGAAACTAAGAATTTGAATGAGACATTATGAATTTGAAGCTAGTCAGCTGCTTAGCTCTATGTACGTATGCTCTTATTCAGAAATTAGAGTGCCAACTTCTGAATGAGCTGAATAAGGAACAATCAAAAGTAGAAACTTCAAAAAAAAACCAAACCCTGTTCTTTGCAGATAGGCCGTAGGAAAGTAGATCTGTGTTACTGTAGACTGTAGGTTAGAAAAATTCTACTCATAGTAAAAGCAAAAGGAACCCCCTGAAATACATTCTGCTCTTCATAAATTGCTTTAAAGTATGAATAGCTTTGGAGACGATGTCAGGCCTGAACATTAAAAACGGACTGGACAAGCCAGATGGAAATTCAGTATCAGCCTTGAGGTTGTGACTGTACTGAAAATGCTGAGTTGGTGGTTCACGCCTTAAGCCAAAACTCCAGGTCAAACCTTCTTCACAAATGTTCATGGGAGTCTTCTCTGTCAAGTCAGATCTTGACTTCACTAGTTTGCACTGTGATTACGTCTGACTTTTTACCAGAGGAGAAGAATGAAGCAAAGAGGCTTTCTCTACCTCTCTGCGCTTTTAGGGCATGGGCCAGATAGATACAATTGCAGTTCATTTGTTTTTCTCAGCGTAATTACTTAGCCTGGTTCTCATGCAAACTCAAAGGGAATAGAAGATGCAATGGGACCCACACATTGTCTACAACCACCTGTTAATCTGGTCGATGCACAAGAGAGCTCCTCATGCTTCCAGATGCAAGCAGCATTTTTTCTGCTTGTCTTCGTTTCCCTGGGGGCCTGGAAGTTTTGAGGCTCCTAGTGTTTCTCTCAGAGAGGGTACCATTCTGCATGGTCCCCATCATATTCTTTTTTTTCTGAACACTGTCTATGTGCATGGTTAACCCAACAGGAACTGAGCTGCTGTGGTTCTCCTCAAATGGCCTTTCACAGTGATGGAGTCCCAGGGAAATCCTTTTAGGGCTCTGTCTGCTCTCAGCACCACAAGGATGCTCTGAATAGTACATTCTTTCCCCCCTTAATAAACTTGTGTTTAAATAATACCCATCACACTTTAATAGGCCTAAATGCAAAGGCTGCCATTAGAACAAGGGATACTGCTGATCACACAGGGGAAGTTAAATTTTTTTCCCTGGGAAAAAAATTTTTCCCTGGGAAATCACTGCAATAATTGAAGATAGAGTGAAAAGATAAACAATGCATCCTCCCTGCAGAACACTGCCCTGTAGGTACCTCAGAGCAAGCAGCCTGAGTCAGTGGCGTTCCCATCACTTCACATCCAAACCTATCACTAAGGAGTTATTTTTGTTTTAATTCCCATGCTTGTTATAGGAAATAAGTCTTGAGCAATTCAGGCTATATAAATAAATACCACACGCAATAATTGTGTTAGACCAACATTATTAAGGAAGGATATTTAAATTCTTGAAGGTCTGGTAATGTCAGGCTGGAGGTTTTCTCTACAGCTTTAAATCAGTGCCTCTTCTCATCCCTTACACACATTACTGTCATACATAACAATATTACAATATTAATTAGTAACACTAATTGTGGACATTGCATTTTGCCGCAGACCCTCTGCCCCACTCATATGCAGGCTAAGCAGCTTTTCAGCATTTCTTTTTTCCTGCTCTTGTTCAAATTTGGTCCCCTCCCTTCAGTGCTTCACACTAGTCACAGCCTGCTCTGACCATCGCTCTGTTTGATTTCTCAAGAACTTGTGCTTACCATCTCCCAGTGCTCAAGGAGTTCCTTTTCACAGTGCCCCCAGGGGAATATTGACCATATTTCACAGATGGGGAACACAGATGCAGAGATTAAAGTAAAAAAAGTCTCCATTAATTTCCTGTGCATGGTTTGTGGTGTCTAGAAACTGACTTTTTGATGGGCTCAGCCTTACGTAGTGCTTCTTGTGGTACGGGCACAATTCCTGCTCAAGTCAGATGCAAAACTGAGAGATTGCCCTGGGGGCAAAATCGCCCACCATGGCAAGACAGCTAGCTATCTTGAAAGTGAGGATCATGGCATAGGGACCGCCAGGTGGAGTTTCACGGGCCCCCGACCTCTCCAGCAGCTCATCCTTCGCAGCTCTCATCAGCTGCTCCTATCTATCTAGTTCACGCATGAGCAGGATGTGCTCTACTTCCATGAGAGAGGAGAGCACCTAATATCTGCATTACAGAAAATAGGGGAGATAAGCACTGCAGAACATTTTACCTGGGAAATCCTCACTCTGGAGCACTTGGTTTTACCATGTTAGCAATAGCCTTCTCATGTGCTTTGTGTGAAACCTCCAACATTCCTGAAAAGGATTCCCTCCCCTAAACATACCATCGTGGGACATTGTATTGATACTTGGACAGGTTTTCAGCTGGGGGCAGAAGGTTTAGAGTTGTTTCCCAGGTCAGCATTGCTCGAGGCAAGGGCATAACTGGGGGAACTGGCAACCTCTTATCCTCCAGATAGACAGACCAGCAGTACCCTACTGCTGGATTCACAGATGACAACAGGAGGCGAGAGCATAAACTCGGGGATGTAGTGTTTCCTTCCATGCTCCTAGGTGGGACTGTGCTCTTGGTGTTTTAACTCTTCTGGCTGTTCCTCCTTTCTGCCGCACACTTTCCAAGGCATCCCTGTTTCCATATGAACTAATCACAACCACTACATCCAAGAGCAGATGCAGTCCCTTATCCCTCAGTATCATCCGGCTCACCTCTCACTGTGCCACAGCGACCTGCAATTATTTGACTTTCTGTGGCAATCTCAGTCTTCACCTCCCACAGCTCAGCCAGTTATCCAGCTATCCTCATATCTGTGGTCCAGTCTATTTCTCACTGTCCTTGCTTGTCTGGCTTTCATCTCTCTCCTTTTGAACTAGAAGGCACCCAATATGAAATACGTTGGCCCAGATGAGAAATGGGTTTTCTGATGGGAAATAATTTTCCCAGAAGGTGTCAGCGATTACCCTTGCTTATTAATATGGGGCAGGATTTAACTGTTTTAGTCTTGTGGAACTACTGTTTTGGAGAATTTACAGTCTGAATGTTAGATCATTTATGACATACCTTTGTAGAGAGACTACCTACAAAGGGTTTAGCAGAAAAACAAAGTATTTTAACACAGAGAACTTAACTAGCTCTAGTTCATAACAGCTGATTTTCAGTTTCACTATCACATGTGTGCTATCGCTATATACAGTATTACTACTACTACAGTAATTGATTGTGGTTTTATCCAAGTCACTTCTTGGGAGACACATTAATGACATAGTTATGTTATTTAAAGTATTCTCACTAAAAGTACTGACATGTTTATGTTTTGCAGCTATATCCTTTTGGGCTGTCAGTCATCTCACATTGAGACTAATTTTACTAGTTCGGTGGGAGAAATTCGTTTGAGTTCCTCTAAACGGGAATCAACCACATTTCCTATTAGCTCATTATCGGAAATGGCATTGTGTGCTGCCTGGGAGGAGGAAAAGGATGACTAATTGTTCCTTAAATACAGCTGGACAGCTTTAAGCTGTGAGATATCCATGCCCATGTCTGCTCCTGCCAGGATTTATCTCCACCTTCTCAGCAGAGGATCATCATGCAGCAAAGTACTCTGAATTTCT